GAGAAAGAAAGAAGGAAAGAGAGGAGAGAAAAAGAAGATACGAGGAGGGGAGGAGCGGGCGGCGGAGAGGGGGCACGGTGACCCCTGGACGCGAGGAAAATAGGTGCCGGTCTGCCCACGTGCGCCTCGTGTTTTTCCTCTTTTTCCTTTCGTCGCCTTTCGTCGCCACGCTGCGACTGTCTCCATCTCGGATGGAGAGACGGCTGCTCGATCACAGCGTCATCCGTGCAAGTGGGAAACGATGGACGGTGACCTCGGCTAGGATGCCGGGACGCCCGTGCGCGGCTTCTATTTATCCGAGGCCCCCCTTTTATCCGCTCGGATGGACGGATGGATGGGTGGATGGATGGATGGATGGATGGATGGATGGATGGATTCGTGTCAGGGAAAAGGTTAATTGTAGCCAGTCACGAGAGCGAGATAGAGCTTTCGACAAGAGGCTGGGCTGCCTCTCTTTCTCTCTTCGCCTTAGGGGAGGGGGAATTAACCTTTTGAGCGGCGGCTTTTAACGGGAGTCAAGATTGATCTATCTGCGAATCTTTTTTAAATGTTTAACATTGGAATTGAGGTGAAATTTTAACTCGAATTATATTAACTGTCTAAATGTATCGGCAAGCTAGATCGACTCGTCGGTGAGTTTTTCTTATATTTGATATTTGTTCGACGAAGGCTCGTTTCAGCAGGGAACACCGTGTATTTCAAAATCGACGCCCACAGGTTGTTGTTGCTGCATACCATTGATAAACTTCCGCGGTGAGGTTACAATGATCTCGCGTGATATTATATTCTCTTCTCTTACGTTACGCCGGCAAATTGATTCCAACTTTTCGCTCGAGGGAGAGGAGAGTTTCTTCCTCGAGATAACGAAACAACATTTTTAACCGATCCTTGTCTCACGGATCTTACGGATTCTAAAAATTATTCCTCGAATTTTTGTACAAACACGAAACATCTTTCCAAGCTTTTGCCTCTTTTCTTTTATTACGCACGCTTCTTTTATTTTTTTTTTTTCTTTTGAAAAAAGAAAAGAAAGAAATATTATCCTCGGTTTAAGAATTCATTTCGTTTTCGTTAATTACGAAAATTATCCAATCACGAAACAAAGACTTTCAAAATTCTCGAAAACACTCGTCCCAAGACAGCGGAAAAATTAGCACGAGCGTGACTCGTAAGTAACTCTCTCTGCTCTCTGGTGTTCCATGCGTGCGAGGAACCGTGTTCCCAATTATCATGGCCGCGCGAAACGAGGATTTTCGAGGCACGGCCAAGCCTAATGCCCCAGTAACGGGATGACTCTACTCTCTTCACGGCGTTGCGAATTTGCAATTCAAATAATTAGCGAGCCCGTCGAAAGAAGAAAAAAGACAGAGAGAAGAAAAAAAGAGAGAAGAAGAAAAACGACCGATCCTTCCTTCCTTCCTCCTCGCGCGCGTTATTTATCTTTCTCCCCTCCCCCCTCCCCTCCCCCCTCACCCCACCCCCCCCTCTCCTCCTCGCGCATCGTGCATCTCCCGTCGCGCATGTTCGTAAAGCAATCGCAGGATGTTGTCCATTCGCGGTAAAATCGGACATGGGTCGTTCGCTCGCCAAGTTCCGCGATGAATGGCGAACACACAACAGTGACTTTTTGACCTAAATTCTTTAACGACCGGCGAAGCTGACGTCACCGAGTCCTTGACCGTAACCGGCGATCGCCTATACTCAGCCACCTCCACCACGGCCGAGGCATCATGGTGATCGCCGGTGACCCTACCGGGAATTTGATTCGCGCCGACCACGCTTCCTGCTTCTCTTCTCTTCTCTTCTCTTCTCTCTCCCTTCCTTTCTCGCCCACGTCCCCTCCCGACTGTCCCGCTATTCGATTATTTTTGGCAGTGTAACCTGTATTCCTGCCTCGCCTCGGATTCGTTCGGAAGAGTTGGCGAAGAGTTGCGATTCGAGAGTATATTGGTTTGGAAGATTTGTCGCGAACGTGGTCGCCAATTGGGGCTATCCCCGCCTTTGAAAGATTAATTCGCTTTCGCGAATTAGATTATCGTCGGGGGTGATTACTTTGAAGCGGAGAGTTTTTACTTTTCGAGCCAATTCGACGAGATGAGATATGGAGGAATTCGCAAAGGTGTGACGATAGGTGCGGATTGTTGAGAGAGTTGGCGGGAAATTTGAAAAGAAGTTTCGCCCGGTTGCAATTGCAAACGGACGCGACGGATGTTTACTTATTGAAATTGTAGGCCTACGCAAAATCGGTGAGGATTGTGCCGAAACCGGTTTCGATTGTGTAGCTATTTTTGGAGGTACGCAAACTCGTAAAACGCTTTTACGAGGAACGATGGTCTGTCGCATTCGTGAAACACCGCGACGGACGTCCGTCCATCCAGCCAAACTTTCTTTCTCTATCTTCAAGCCGCGATATTCATAGTCATAGTCCTCGATAAAAATTCTTCTACCTCGCGAAAGAGGTATTATTCCTTCGAGGAATTCAATTTTTAATATTAATACCTTTTATATTCTTCTCCTATGTATAGGAATTTCGTAACACGTAACTTCGTATTTCATTTCATTACAATCAAAATAAAACCATCCTATCCCTCTCACTACACACGCACACACACGCACACACGTTTCAGTCAAATATAATTAACAAAAATTTTCGCACTCACTGGCGGAGCGAGTATCCTTTATCACGCCTCTCACGTGACGCGCGATAGCCGTTGTAAAGTGTATCCCGTTACACAATCCTGCCTTAAACACCTTAAGCTTCAATTACAATTCCCTCTACCGGGATTAAAACCGACCCATATATCCATATCCATTACCCGATCCAACCTATATTGCAGCCTAACCTGCTGCAACCTCCCCTCTCCCTTCCGTCTCCCCCCTCCCTCGAACGAAAATTAAAATCGCCTAGGCGGATGCGCCCCCTGCCTGTCATCGTTTCGAGGGATGCAGCAGCTTCGAGGTTGCACGCGCCCGCCGCGTAACACGAGATTCGATCGTAATCGAATACGCGGGTCGAGAAGAGCGCGGGTACAAAAGGGGGAGCGTACGGAAAAAGAGAGGGAGGGAGGGAAGAAAAAAAAGGAGAAAAGAACAAAAAAAACGAGGAGAAAAGAGGACGGGATAGGATGTACCGTCGTAGTAGGTTCGAGCATATTCGGACTATGGCCGGCCGGATCGATCGGACGTCACTTCTTCATCTCTTCTTAAACAGAGAGAGAGAGGGAGAGGGGGGGAGGAGGGGAGGGGGGGGAGAGGTCAGGCTGCGAGGGGACAGGATGCGTCGATTTTTTGCCCGTTTTTTCTTCCTCCTCTCCCTTCCCCCGTTTTTCCTCTCTTCTTCTGCCTTCCCCCCCTCTCGCTCCTTTTCCACCGTGGAAAAATGCATAACGGGACGGGCGGCCGCCGAAAACGGCGGAGGAACGTGCGCGGCATCGTCGAGCCGCGGAGTTGAACTTGTGTGCCGCGTCCAGCCTGTCCGTCCTTCCAAAAACCGGTGGAAAAACCGGGGGTGGAGAGGAAACGGAAAGAGATTCGGGCGTGATAAGAGGCGGACGGATAGGCGCAGCAGGTATCCGAACGTTTATTACCGTAATACCGTAATCGTGGATTCGAGGCGGCAGCCGAGGGTATCCTCCGATATATCCCTCTCTTCCGAAGAATTAGCCGTTCCAAACCGAAACAAACTCAAATATCACCCATTATACCTTACGTATATATACGATCATCGTCCTGCTGTATTTATTTACGAGAAAACAGGGAGAAAAGGCAAACTGCAGCCGGTAAGGTGAAAAAAAGGAAAAAGAGAGGAAGGAAAAAAAAAAAAAAAAAGGACTCACGCACAACGCCACATTCCTTCCCCATCAATCAAGCAGGAACACGTGACAGGGGTGGTCGAAGGATCGGATCTACCGCCCCTAAAAGGGGAAGGTGGAGGGTGTTGGGCGAGAAGGGCCGTAAATGGGGCCCCAGCGTGAATCCAGAATTCGTGGACGAGAAGCATGCACGGTTTCGGTGTTACAATATGCACGAACTGGTCGTTGGTTGCGCACGAGGAAACGTGACGCGAAAGCAGAGAGTCCTTCTCCGTGCATCTCATTAGGACGCTCGAGAGGAACGGAGAGAAGGAAAGGAGGACCTCTTCGTCGGTTCGCTTATCAGGATGGATATATTTTACGATCGGGAAGTTGGCCAGCTTCCGCTGTTCCTAGGCTACCTAATTGGATGGCTCTCTTCCTGGTACCGCTCGCGCAGGAATCCCTCCGCTTTGGAACGGGCCGAGAATAAACGTTGTTTAGAAACGTTGCTGGCCTCTGTTCTTCTCTACTTCTTCTCGAAGTGGTAGTTCTTTGTCTTCCTCTCCTTCGTCCCGTTTCTTTGTCCCGCGTTTGTCGATGCTCTTCTCTCTTCCTTTCTTTTACCTTCCTTACCATCCACACCGTGGACGAGGAAGTTTAACGCCGGCCCATCGTGGCGTGGCTGCTGCGTTCGTTCCTTCGTTCGCCGCGCATCCGTGAAAGTGAAACGGAGAAAATCAGGTTTCGAAGACGAGCCTTCGAACCTTGCTCCGTGGACGTGGCGCGGGATGGCGTTGATGGAACCGAGGCCATCTCGTCCCCTCGAATCTCTCGTTCCGTCGATACGAAATATTGCATTTTTCTTTCGTACGTATGCATTAGAGCTTAAAAATTTTTTTAAATTTAGAATCACTTCGGCTAGTTTAGTTTTCTTCAATTCTAGGAATAACGTAGGAATTTTAGATGCCTCGTTTATATATCTATTTTCTCACAAATATTTCGCTACTTTTTTTTTTTTAGGTTAGATCAGATTAGAATCCTAATAATGGGACAAGCGTACAATTTAAATTCTAGCTTTTAGAGATACGTTCGACGGGGGGTTAAACGACGTATGGTACGTAAATCAGAATCAGAGTCGTCAACTTAAGGAGACACGAGATGATGCGAGATCTCTCTCTCAGCTGAGACGCGGCCAAAGTCAGCTGACTTCGAGTGTTGCCTGGCACGGGTCAAGTCCCCCTTCCACTTCACAAACTACTTCTTTGTCTCTCCTCGCGCTTCCCCCCTCCACGTTATGCCCGAGCGTCATAAAACCATCCCAATCCGCTTCGAGAAAATTTCTTGACGCAATTATTCGACTTTTCCCATCTCTTCCCCAACTCTTCTCCTCTCTTGAGAAAAGAGTATGCCGACCAATGCCACCGTAATCGCTCGTAACAAGAGCACATCGTACAAAGGGGAGGAAATAAGGAAGTTACCGCAACTTGGAGAAATTTAACTTTATATTCATCGTCGATCTTAAAAAAAAAAAAGAAAGAAAGAAAGAAAGAAAGAAAGAAAGAAAGAAACGGAAGCAAGAGAATCGTCTCATGGGCGAACAAGGGAGGATTCGAAAAGGAATCGATCGTTACTACGGGCCTCGGTTCATAAACCAAGAAACCACAACGCGCCACTTCCCGCGAGGAACGCGGGCAATCGCGATTCCCCTCTTCCGTAAACACAAACCCTATTCATCGTTTCATATTCCATCAATTATACAAACATAATGCAACAAATACAACAACAACAACAACAACAACAATAATAATAATAATAATAATGATAAAAAGTCACGACAGTCAAGTGTTAAGTATCAAGCGAGCGACGGGTCCCGTGTGTTCCGTCCACGCGAAATCGTGCGAATCGATCGGGCCGCTGGCATGGGACAGAGTGCAAGGAGGAAGCGAGCGATCGAAAAAGAGCAGCAAACCGGGAAGAAGACGAACGCGCGGAGGATGGAATACGATAGACCAAGAACAAGAGGAGGAGGAAGGAGGAGAAGAAAAGTGTATGGAAAGGTGTGCGCTTGAGGAGGAGAAGATCGAACGAAGTGGAGAACGAGAGAGAGAGAGAGAGAGAGGAGGAGAGAAGACGCGGAGG